GCCGGAAGAAGGCGAAGCACGTGAACGGTGGATTGAGAAAAGCGCGGTGCTTTTCGACCTCATCCTTCAATCGGTCAACAAGGAGATGTTCGAGCACATCAAGGATCTTGTAGAAGCGGATGATTCGGGTCCGAGGGCATGGAAACTACTACGCGATGTGATTCAGCCCAACACTCTCTCTATGGTGATCGTGCTCAAGAAGGAACTTGCTGCCATCTCCATGCGACCAGGGGACGATGTGAAGCCGGTCCTTGACAAGATCAAGGACACCTATGCAAGGATGGCAGCAGCGGGCAGCAGTGTATCTCAGCTGCAGCAGTGCACCAAGATCATCTCGGTGTTGGACAACTCTTGGGACAACCTCATCCCCACCCTCAACTCTCAGCAAGATAAATGGACACCTGAGTGGCTCAGGCAGCAGATTCTGCAGGAGGACTTCCGCAGACGCCATGTGGGAGGTGGTGCGTCTACTAAGACTGCTGAGGGGTATGGAGCTGCAGGGCGCGGCAGAGGAAGAGGGGGTTGGAGAGGCCGAGGCCGTGGGAGGAGCTTTGGCAGAGGTAGAGGCCGAGGTGACTATAATGAGGGGCATGGGAGCTCCGGTGGCAGGGGGAGTACCAGAACGGAGGGCATCTGCTGGTACTGCAAGAAGGTCGGGCATCCTTGGTTCAAGTGCTTCAGCAAGCCGGAGGGATGGGCACCTCTAGGCATGAAGCCGCCCAGTGGTGAACGCGCACAAGGTGGCGCTGTGCAAGGCTCAGGTGCACAAGGTGAAGGTGCACAAGGTAATGCCTATCCTGGGATGTTTCTCATGGTTGAGGATGTGCATGGGCATGAGGGTGATGTGGGATCTGTGGGAAAGGTTGTGATGCACCCTCTCACGCACTGGGTAATTGACTCAGGTTGCACCAGTCACATGACCCCACGAGCAGATTTGCTTGATGAGGTAAAACCCCCTGGGAAGATTAAGTATGTGGCAGCAGCGTCAGGTGCTTTGCTCCTTGTCATTGGTGTTGGGAATGCCAAGGTTAAGGGAGCTAATGGGGAGCTTGTGGGGCTTGGGAATGTTCTGTTGGTTAAAGGCTTGTCTGCTAACCTTCTCTCTGTGCGGCGACTGCAGAAGAGCAAGGCCGAAGTGACCTTTGGACCAACCAACTGCCATGCTAAGCTTGGGAAGAAGGTACTGTGGAGTCTGGAAGAAAAGACCAGCTGCATCAAGGACCTGTGGCAGCTGCCCATCATCCCTTGGAATGGGAAGACTCCAACAGCAGCAACGGCAGCAGCGGCAAAGGCAACAGCAGGAGGAGATGCAACTGCACCAACTGATGGGTTCCTGGAAGCAGTCAAGAAAGTGCAGCAGCAGCAGACACATGATGAGGTGCTTGCTGGTGTGGATGCGAGTGCGGCATGGGCTAAGGCTTCATCAAGGAGTGGAGAGGCCGATTGGGAGACATGGCATGAGAGGCTGTGTCATGTGAACTTCCCTATGCTGGAGAAGTTGGTGAAGGATGGGAGACTGAAGGGCTTGGAGGTGAAAGGGGGAGTCCGCGGTGAAGACGCGCAGCCACAACCCACGGGAGAAGAACGTCGGGCACGTCGGCCTTCCGCTCCAGGGGAAACACCGTGGTGTAGCACGTGTAGTCGTCGACGAGCACAAGAAAGTAGCGCTCGCCACGCGGTACGGGGACGGGGGCTGGGCCCCAAACGTCCAGGTGCAGGGTCTGAAGGGGAGCAGTAGCAAGGCGAATCGAGGAGGAGTGAGGGGCATGGCGGAGCCGCCCTCGACGCAAGGAGTGCACGGTGGAGCAGGCGAGAGGGGAAGGGCGGGGAGCGATGCGGGGAGGCCTAAGACAAGATCGTGCTGGGACATGTGACGCAGACGCGGGAGTGCAGGGTGACCTAGGCGGTGGTGCCACAAAAGGGACGGGTGAGTGAGAGACCGACACGAGCACGCTGCAGCGACCTGGGAGGACGCACCAACCGGGGGGGGAGCGGTGTCGAGGGTAAACAGACCTGACACCGGGTCCCAGGGGAACGTCGCAAGGGGGGAACCCGAGACAGCCTCGGTACAGACAGCGAACCGCTCGTGCGCAGGGAAAGTAGTGGTGACGCCGAGGTCCTGAAGACAGCCGACACCAACCAGGTTCCTGGAGAACGAGGGAACGTGAAGGCCTGTAAGGGAGCCCGAGGGGATGGCTGGACAGGGAAGGGAAGTAGAGCTGCGAGCGACGACAGGACCCGCAGAGGGGTCAGCGAGAGCGACAACTGCAGGCGCGGCAAGCGACGTGAGCGTGGAGCGGTCGCGGAAGAAACAGGCAGAAGCACCGGAGTCGAGAGTGAAGGACAGCGAGGCAGTAGCAGAGGCCGGGGACGATGCCGGTGCAGGAACGACGCTAGGAGACCTAGGCAGTCCTACGCCTGACGCAGCAGGGGAAGCTAAGCTACACAAGTGTGCTACACCTAAACTAGAGTACACAGGGTAATAAGATCCAGCAACACCAGAAGCGTCAGCATACAAGGCATGCAAAGCAGCACCTATCTGATCCATATCTAACTCAAAGATCGGTACGCCCTAGCGAAGCAGGCTGTACCAGTCGGGGAGGTCCGGGGCCGGGCCAAAGTGACGACGAAAGAGATCGTTGAGGCGGCGGAAACAGCGGGTGGTCGGGTGCGGGCGGCAGCACAGAGTGCTGCGGAGAGGCCCGGTCTGAAGCTGGTACTGGCAGGTCACAGCACCGGAGCTGCCGATAGACGCCAAGCTGCGAGGGTCACCACCACGGCCACCACCTCCAGAGGTGCCGGGCCAACCAGGCGGGAGACGAGCCCACGGCTACGGCGGCTGCTGCTGGGATGGCGGCGGCTGCTGCGAGGGCTGCTCCTGCTGTGAAGGCGACTGCGACTGCTCCTGACCACCGGTGGTAGTCCCCTTAGGGGGACTACCGTCGCCACCACCACTACCACCACCACCAGCGCCACCACCACTAACCTCCCTGACGGCCATGGCCAACGCGGCGCGGGCGCTGCTACGGGTGGACCACAGCAGCCGTCTCGGTAAGAGGGGTCGCAGTGGCGACCGCAGCCGAAACGTCAGTAAACGTGCACTGGGAGGGGGCATTGCCGTGAAAGATAGAGACTGCCGGCGCACCGCTCGACTGAGCGATAGTGCGCTGGCGAGTCTCGATCTCGATGAGGGTGTCGACAAAGGCGGTCAGGGTAAGGTCACCCGGGTGCTGGCTAAGGAAGCGGTCGCGGGCACTAGCTAGGCGGTCTGGCAGGCGCATGGCGATAAAATAGAGGGTCATGCAGAATGGGGGGGGGAGAGCAGTGAGCTGGGCAGCAGTGCTGGCAGTGCGATAGCGAGACTCTAGGGCACGCAAGTGAGTGGCAAAGTCTGCAACAGTAGGGAAGGCAGCAAGGTCTGGGAACAGCATCGGGAAGAGCAAGCGGCCGGCAGAAGCGGATGCAGGCGTGGAATAGCGAGCAACAACAGCATCTAAATAAGCTTTGGTCGTATCAACCATAGCGAAACGCGAGCGCTCAGACACAGGGAGGGCGTGACTGATAGCAACCTGAGCTACTGCATCGCGTGAGTCCCAGACCGCACAGGCAAGCGCAGCAGTAGAGAAAGCCTCACTCTCAGCGGAGGTGGGGTCAGCAGGGAGGGGAGCAGGTGCAGGGGGGGGGGGGGAGCAAGCCATCAGCATGGACAACCAGCGAGTGTCCATCCTGGCGCTGACCTGTAAGCAGACGGCGGAGATCAGAGAGCCAGGCGGTGAAGTCAAATGCATGGCCCTCAGCGTCCAGGCGGAGCACGAAGTCAGCCATCGTGCAGGGTCAGCGACACAACGGCACAGCTCCACAGCTCGGTAGGAGCACAGCGGCACGGGGACACGGCGGCAGCACTCTCCAGTAGGGCGGCTGCAGGGGCGCCCGAGCGCGGGCTAGCAGAGGATACAGGCCCCGAGATGGCACGGCAGGCCGAGCAGGCACAAGGAGGGACTGGGCGGGGGCTAGGAGGGGCCCAGCACGCGCGGGGCGGCCGGGCAGGCGCGACTGGGGGCCGGGCGGGCGCGAGGAGGGGCCGGGCGGGCGCTGCTGGGGCCGGTTAGGAGCTGGCTTGACAGTCAGTGGGCCGGCCAGGAGCGGGCGCGTGGAGCCAGGGGGGGGCCAGCTAGGAGCGGGCGCGACGGCCAGTGGGGCCAGCTAGGGGCGGGCGCGAACGGCCAGGGGGCCGGCTAGGAGCGGGCGCGACGGCCAGGGGGGCCAGCTAGGGGCGGACGCGACGGCCAGGGGGCCAACTAGGGGCGGACGCGACGGCCAGGGGGCCAGCTGAGGGCGGACACGACGGCCAGGGGGCCAGCTAGGGGCGGACGCGACGGCCAGGGGGCCGACTAGGGGCGGACGCTACGGCCAGGGGGCCAGCTGAGGGCGGACGCGACAGCCAGGGGGGCGACTAGGGGTGGACGCGACGGCCAAGGGGCCAGCTAGGGGCGGACGCAACGGCCAGGGGGGCGGCTAGGGGCGGTCGCGACGGCCAGGGGGGCCAGCTAGGGACGGACGCGACGGCCAGGGGGCCGACTAGGGGCGGACGCGACGGCCAGGGGGCCAGCTGAGGGCGGACGCGATGGCCAGGGGGCCGACTAGGGGCGGACGCGATGGCCAAGGGGCCAGCTAGGGGCGGACGCGACGGCCAGGGGGCCGGCTAGGGGCGGACGAGAGACTAGGGCGCGGGCGGAAGCGGGCGGGTGAACCTAACCTACTCGATACCATGTTAGAATACATGAATGAATTACTAGAGGGGAAACAGGGAACATATAGCAGTTGGGTTATACTCACTAAGAGCACACACCGATACTAGCCTATAACTTCTACATGCATGATATGTATAAGTTGACAGCTCTGCCCCGGTTCTGTACGCTGACAACATGGCCATGATCCTCCTGTGTCAGGAGCCTTGACTTGAGGGCAAAGCGAAGCACATCCAGCTGCTGTACTTCCTCCTGTGCGAGCTACAGCAACGTCGTGGTTTTGCTCTTGCCTTGTTTGTACTCGTTTGACTGGTCTTAAGACACTTGCCTCAGAGGTTGGACTAGTAGCGCCACCCTGAGCTGCTTGTCTCTCACCAGGCACTGCCCCTATCCAGTCTAGGGGGTGTCAAAACATATTTTTGTATGTTGTTATAGACTACACAGGGTTGTGCCTTAGAGAGTACAACCCACTAGGATATATTCCCTTGTATGCCGTGGTTCAACTCATTTCGTTAACTTTGATACTACACTCTGAAAGCCTTGCACCTCAGCTGAGCAATCAGCACCGTCTGCATGGCAGGCAGATATGCCGTCCAGCTGGCAGGAATGGACATTCAGCTGGCATGATGAACGACCGTCCAGCTGGCAGAACTGCGGGGTAACACCCGCACCACTGGTATCTTGGCAAATTGACCTCCCCTTGGTTATAAGCTCAGCCTGGCAGCAGCAGGAGCAGACACTCGAGTGTAAACAGGAGCAAGAGTAGACACTTGATGATCCGCTGAGGGAGCGGAAGGTGGAGCAGGAGTAGAGGGTGGAGGGGGTGGTGGCTGGAGACACCTCCCATGTGGTTTCGTCAAGAGCATGACTGCTCACTCGTTCCCCTTCGGTTTCAAGCCCTGTCAAAAGAGGAGGCTTGGGAAGAGGTTGAGCAGTTGCATTGTATTTTTGAGGCGCCTCAAAAATAGACTCCTCACGCTTGGGAAGAGGCTGAGTAGTTGCAGTGGTGGTGGTGGCGGTGGTGGTGGGGGAGGGGTTTGCTTGGGCTGATCGTGCAATGATAAGGGGAGAAACAGAGGAAGGAAGAGAGGGATCAAGACCAGCCAGCACAGCTGTAGCAGCTGTTACAAAAGGGGAGGAAGGGAGAGGGGGAGAAGGGAGAGGGGGAGAAGGGAGAGGGGGAGAAGGGAGAGGGGGAGAAGGGAGAGGGAGGGGAGGGAGAGGGGAGAGAGCATCCAACGGCACACTGTGTGACCAGGTGGCGGACCGTGAGTGGCCGGAGGGAGTGGATGAGGAGTGACGGGGCAGAAGGGGGTGATGGGCGAAACGGTAAGGTAAGTGTTGTTGCAGCATCGGCTGCTGCTGCTGCTGCTGCTGCTGTTGCTGCTGCTGCTGCTGTTGCAGTTGCTGCTGCTGCTGCTGTTGCAGCTGCTGTTGCTGTTGCTGTTGCTGCTGCTGCAGTTGCTGCTGCCGCTGCTGCTGCTGCTGCTGCTGCTGTTGTTGCTGTTGCTGTTGCTGCTGCTGCTGCTGCTGCTGCTGCTGCTGCTGCTGCTGCTGCTGCTGCTGCTGTTGCTGTTGCTGTTGCTGCTGCTGCTGCCGCTGCTGCTGTTGCTGCTGTTGTTGTTGTTGCTGCTGCTGCTGCTGAAGCTGGGAAGGTGGGTTGAAGGGGATTGAAGGGAGCGGATGGGGGTGGGATCGAGACTCAGAGGAAGAGGCTTTGCATTCTGCAGGCCTGCTTTTGCTGCTGATGGTCTTGACACTGCTGCTGCTGCTGCTGCTGCTGTTGACAAAATAGGTGGTGCTATGGGCACTACGAGCCCTGGTAGTTGCGGCCACAGGGAATACCGAGGGGGGTTGGGGTAGCTGTTGCGTCATCTCGAAGGATGCTAAGAGTAAATGAGGGGATGGGGCGGTATTGGGGGCAGAGACGGGGAGTGGAAAGGGGGAGGAGAAGGGGATGGGACAGGAGAGAGGGAGGGTAGTTGGAAGGGGGAGCGGGGAGGCGAGAAGGCTCGTATTGATGATGTTGCAGGGAGAGGAAGAGGGAGTGGGGAGAGAGGAGGTGGGGAGAGCGGGGGTGGGGGGAGAGGGGGCGGGGGGAGAGGGGGTGGGGGGAGAGGGGGTGAGAGAGAAAGGGGCAGTGGAGGATCGAGTGAGTGAAGGGTGATGAGACAAAGGAGAGTGGGTAGTGTGAGAGGGGGAGGGGGTGGGAGGGGAGGAGGGGATGTGGGAGGCGGAGGGGGCAGTAGGGGAGGAGGGGACGGGAGGGGAGAGAGCGTAGCACGGTGAGGAGGAGGAATGCCGGGAGGGTTGTGAGAAGGAACGGAAGCCCGTGAAGGTGGCAACCTGGGGAGGTCGAGACTGGGGAGGGTCAGTAGGTGGCAGGCATGTGAGGAGGTGGGTGAAGGTCGGGGCTGCTGCTGCTGCCCTTCCTGCTGAAGTCGCTGCCACTCTTTCTGTTCACGGATCCGCCGTTGCTGCCGTCACTGCTGCTCCGAGCCACCGCAGCAGGTCTGGAACCCACCAAGCCCACAGATCCAGTGGCCGTTGCAGACCTACCAGTAGCCACGCCAGGACTGGTTCGGAGGGATGCCGAACCAGCAGGTCCGGGAGGCATCAGGGTAGGTCCGGCAACCATGGCAGGCCCTCCAGGACTTTCGGCAGAATAGGTTCGGGAAACTGGCCCGGGAACAGGTCCAGGCCGGGGAAGAGAGGGAACAGGTCCGGGAATAGGCCTGGATGCACGTCCGGGATCATGAGGAGGAGGTGGGGGGTGTTAGGGGAAAAGCGGCACAAGAAATAGCTCTTCTGTGCCGAGGAGGGGGTATTACCCAACAGACGATGATCCTTTGTGAAAGGGGTAATTGCTCTTCTGCGCTGCAATTTGTGCAGCAGCAGCAGCTGCAGGACCAGCGACAGAATTGGCAATGATTGGGGGGAGAAGAGCAACAGCACCCGAAGCAGCAGTGGTAACCCTGTTACCAAGACCGTCTTCGTCCTGTTGCCACCAGTAACAGCAGCAGCAGCAGTGGTTGAACCAGCGCTCCGGCTCCTGCACAGGCGGATGCTGCTGCTGCTGCTGTTGCTGCTGCTGCTGCTGGATTCCCCATTGCCATGTTGACTTGGAGCTGCTGTGCTGCTCCTTGTGCTGCTGGTGCTGCCGCCGCTGCTGCCGCTGCTGCCGCTGCTGCTGCTAATGCTACAGATTCTGCTGTTACTGCACCTGTTGTGGATTATGCTGCTGCAGTCTGTTACTGTGTTACTGAGATTATCTGTAACAGTGCTTGCATCAGAAGTAAGGTTATCAGGAGTGTAAGCCGTTTGTCCTGATGAGTTACTGTAGTCATTGGTCTTGCTGTTACAGTCTGTTATGCTTTTACAGTTAGGCATTTCTGTCACACGTTGTTCCCCGTTTACTATAACGAGGCAGCAGTTGGGCGGAAGGTTGGGTTTCCACTTGTCCGCCGAGTTGGCGGAAGCCTCCCCCCTCCCCGCACGGATCTCCGCGCCAAGGTACATCCGCGCAACGGCGCAAAGCGCTTCCCCCTTGCGTGCGGAACACTCCACGTGTGCCAAAGCGGGAACCTGCGAAAAAAAGGGATGGGGAAGCAAGGCGGCAAGCCCTGAGATGAGCGCGATCGGGGGAACCCGCGGGAGGCGCGGCGGAACGTACAGCTTCCCCCCACAATCCGCGCGGCAGCACAATCCGCGCGGCAGTACATGATATCAAACAACCCAGGGAAGTTCGCGAAGCATTTTTGCGCAGCGCAGAAAGCGGTTGCATTCCCCAGGCGCCACGCGCATTGGTTGCGACTTCAGAGGCGGTCGCACCAACGCAGAGAGCGGTCGCATACCCCCCGCCCCCCCCCCCCCCCCTGCGCGCCTCAAAGGCTGGATGACGCAACGCAGAAAGCGGTTGCGCCCCCCCGGCGCCACTCGCATTGGTTGCGCCTTCTGAGGCGCCTCAAAGGTCCTCAAAGGTCCTCAAAGGTCCTCAAAGGTCCTCAAAGGTCCTCAAAGGTCCTCAAAGGTCCTCAAAGGTCCTCAAAGGTCCTCAAAGGTCCTCAAAGGTCCTCAAAGGTCCTCAAGGTCCCTCAAAGGTCCTCAAAGGTCCTCAAAGGTCCTCAAAGGTCCTCAAAGGTCCTCAAAGGTCCTCAAAGGTCCTCAAAGGTCCTCAAAGGTCCTCAAAGGTCCTCAAAGGTCCTCAAAGGTCCTCAAAGGTCCTCAAAGGTCCTCAAAGGTCCTCAAGGTCCTCAAAGGTCCTCAAAGGTCCTCAAAGGTCCTCAAAGGTCAAAGGTCCTCAAAGGTCCTCAAAGGTCCTCAAAGGGTCCTCAAAGGTCCTCAAGGTCTCAAGGTCCTCAAAGGTCCTCAATAGGTCCTCAAAGGTCTCAAGGTCCTCAAAGGTCCTCAAAGGTCCTCAAAGGTCCTCAAAGGTCTCAAAGGTCCATCAAAGGTCCTCAAAGGTCCTCTCAAAGGTCCTCCAAAGGTCCTCAAGTTCAAAGGTCCTCAAAGGTCCTCAAAGGTCTCAAAGGTCCTCAAAGGTCCTCAAGGTCCTCAAAGGTCCTCAAAAGGTCCTCAAGTCCTCAAAGCCTCAAAAGGTCCTCAAAGGGCCTCAAAGGTCCTCAAAGGTCCTCAAAGGTCCTCAAAGGTCTCAAAGGTCCTCAAAGGTCCTCAAGGTCCAAAGGTCCTCAAAGTTCAAAGGTCAAACTCAAAGGTCAAGGTCCTCAAAGTCTCAAAGGTCCTCAAAGTCTCAAGGTCCTCAAAGGTCCTCAAAGGTCCTCAAGGTCCTCAAAGGTCCTCAAAGGTCCCTCAAAGGTCCTCAAAGGTCCAAGGTCAAAGGTCCTCAAAGGTCCTCAAAGGTCTCTCCCAAAGGTCTAGCCTCAAAGGTCCTCAAAGGTCCTCAAAGGTCCTCAAAGGTCCTCAAAGGTCCTCAAAGGTTCCTCAAAGGTCCTCAAGGCCTCAAAGGTCCTCAAGGTCCTCAAGGTCCTCAAAGGTCCTCAAAGGTCCTCAAAGGTCCTCAAAGGTCCTCAAAGGGCCTCAAAGGTCCTCAAAGGGCCTCAAAGGTCCTCAAAGGTCCTCAAAGGTCCTCAAAGGTCCTCAAAGGTCCTCAAAGGTCCTCAAAGGTCCTCAAAGGTCCTCAAAGGTCCTCAAAGGTCCTCAAAGGTCCTCAAAGGTCCTCAAAGGTCCTCAAAGGTCCTCAAAGGTCCTCAAAGGTCCTCAAAGGTCCTCAAAGGTCCTCAAAGGTCCTCAAAGGTCCTCAAAGGTCCTCAAAGGTCCTCAAAGGTCCTCAAAGGTCCTCAAAGGTCCTCAAAGGTCCTCAAAGGTCTCAAAGGTCCTCAAAGGTCCTCAAAGGTCCTCAAAGGTCCTCAAAGGTCCTCAAAGGTCCTCAAAGGTCCTCAAAGGTCCTCAAAGGTCCTCAAAGGTCCTCAAAGGTCCTCAAAGGTCCTCAAAGGTCCTCAAAGGTCCTCAAAGGGCCTCAAAGGTCCTCAAAGGTCCTCAAAGGTCCTCAAAGGTCCTCAAAGGTCCTCAAAGGTCCTCAAAGGTCCTCAAAGGTCCTCAAAGGTCCTCAAAGGTCCTCAAAGGTCCTCAAAGGTCCTCAAAGGTCCTCAAAGGTCCTCAAAGGTCCTCAAAGGTCCTCAAAGGTCCTCAAAGGTCCTCAAAGGTCCTCAAAGGTCCTCAAAGGTCCTCAAAGGGCCTCAAAGGTCCTCAAAGGTCCTCAAAGGTCCTCAAAGGTCCTCAAAGGTCCTCAAAGGTCCTCAAAGGTCCTCAAAGGTCCTCAAAGGTCCTCAAAGGTCCTCAAAGGTCCTCAAAGGTCCTCAAAGGTCCTCAAAGGTCCTCAAAGGTCCTCAAAGGTCCTCAAAGGTCCTCAAAGGTCCTCAAAGGGCCTCAAAGGTCCTCAAAGGTCCTCAAAGGTCCTCAAAGGTCCTCAAAGGTCCTCAAAGGTCCTCAAAGGTCCTCAAAGGTCCTCAAAGGTCCTCAAAGGTCCTCAAAGGTCCTCAAAGGTCCTCAAAGGGCCTCAAAGGTCCTCAAAGGGCCTCAAAGGTCCTCAAAGGTCCTCAAAGGTCCTCAAAGGTCCTCAAAGGTCCTCAAAGGTCCTCAAAGGTCCTCAAAGGTCCTCAAAGGTCCTCAAAGGTCCTCAAAGGTCCTCAAAGGTCCTCAAAGGTCCTCAAAGGTCCTCAAAGGTCCTCAAAGGTCCTCAAAGGTCCTCAAAGGTCTCAAAGGTCCTCAAAGGTCCTCAAAGGTCCTCAAAGGTCCTCAAAGGTCCTCAAAGGTCCTCAAAGGTCCTCAAAGGTCCTCAAAGGTCCTCAAAGGTCCTCAAAGGTCCTCAAAGGTCCTCAAAGGTCCTCAAAGGTCCTCAAAGGTCCTCAAAGGTCCTCAAAGGTCCTCAAAGGTCCTCAAAGGTCCTCAAAGGTCCTCAAAGGTCCTCAAAGGTCCTCAAAGGTCCTCAAAGGTCCTCAAAGGTCCTCAAAGGTCCTCAAAGGTCCTCAAAGGTCCTCAAAGGTCCTCAAAGGTCCTCAAAGGTCCTCAAAGGTCCTCAAAGGTCCTCAAAGGTCCTCAAAGGTCCTCAAAGGTCCTCAAAGGTCCTCAAAGGTCCTCAAAGGTCCTCAAAGGTCCTCAAAGGTCCTCAAAGGTCCTCAAAGGTCCTCAAAGGTCCTCAAAGGTCCTCAAAGGTCCTCCAAAGGTCCTCAAAGGTCCTCAAAGGTCCTCAAAGGTCCTCAAAGGTCCTCAAAGGTCCTCAAAGGTCCTCAAAGGTCCTCAAAGGTCCTCAAAGGTCCTCAAAGGTCCTCAAAGGTCCCAAGCCTCAAGGTCCTCAAAGGTCCTCAAAGGTCCTCAAAGGTCCTCAAGGTCCTCAAAGGTCCTCAAAGGTCCTCAAAGGTCCTCAAAGGTCCTCAACAAGGTCCTCAAAGGTCCTCAAGGTCCTCAGAGGTCGGATTGCACCCCCCCGGCGCCGCGCGCATTGGATGGCTCAAAAGCATAAGCGGTCGAATCCCCGGGTGGCCGAATTCGCCGCGGTCATAATGCTCGTTGCGCACACCCCCAGCGCCGTGCGCGGTGCGCGTTTGGGCGGCCGTCGAGGGGATGTGTGAGAATATGTGATAGCCGCCCGCGCGCAAACCATCGAGTTAATTTTGGCTTCTGAGAAATGACTCCTAAAAACCAGCTCAATCCGTAGCCGCATGAGGATTGATTCTCACCTCGAGATATATATGATAGCCGCCGAATGCGAACCATGTGGCGAAGCGTTGAGCGCAGGCAGGAGATTAAGGCTAACGGCCTGGTCGGTTTGCGCTCGCGTCGGACCGTAAAACACGCCGCTCTGGCGGGCTTGGAAAAAAATCTACCGCGCCAGAAGGGCGGGCTAGTTTTGAGGCGCCTCAAAATACGTGCTCGCGTCGGACCGTAAAACACGCCGCTCTGGCGGGCTTGCGAGAAAATCTATCGCGCCAGAAGGGCGGGCCTGCTTCGGAGCGAACTGCTTGGCTTGTCCGAGAGGGGAATCTCGTGCCAGCTGCTTCCTCATGCTCCTGCTACAGGGTTCTAACCTAACTTGTAGGTGCTAGGGGTATCATAGGTTGAGGGCAGCCGTGTGAGTCGACTCAAAACGAAATTACTTTCGCTTAGCCGGGAGGAGAATCTCGTGCCAGCTGCTTCCTCATGCTCTTGCTACAGGGTGCTTGGTAAGGGTATAGGTTGGAACCAGTCGCATCGGGTAATTCAATGCCTACAAATGCTGGGAGTCGCACGTTACAGGGAATGGCGCCTGCGAAGGGAAAGCCAGGGAAGGGAAAGCCAGGGAAGGCACTACTGGACTGCGTTGCGCGATGATGAATGGCTGCCAAATTCCAATCCAACTCCCCTTTTCCGTCCTTATCTCCAAGCTTGGAGACACCCCAACCCACTCCAGCACCTTGTTTTTCTTGTGTGCTTGTGCTTGTGCTTGTGCTTGTGCTTGTGAGTGGTGAAATCTGCTACGGTTGAATGAAGCCTTCGGATGAAGGGAGCAGACGAGCAATCCCTCCCCATGCATCCCGTACAGAATGGATCTGAATTGAGGTTTGAACTGTTACAGAACCAATGCGAAGTTCGTGAAGGTGTGAGGGTGAGGGAACTCCTGATTCTCCCTCCCAGCTGCTACTGTCGCAGCAGATGAACAGACAGGCTGGCTGCATGTTGGTTACCAAATCGCAGCAGCATTCTCGTTCGGTCACCCACACACTGACTGTATGCTGGTTACCCCATCGCCTGCCACACTTGCTTCGCCTCCATCATGGCCGAGCTGGATGGGAGCGCCGTCTCAAACAGGCGAAGAGAAGCAGTGAATGTTTTTTTTCGCTCAATTGAGAACACAATGCATGTTTCACGTAGCGAGTCCTTGTCACTGCAGAAAAAAACAGCGGGGGAACTGACACCCAATCCCCGCTGGCAGCGGCACGAGCTTGACGCAGAGATTACGGGAGCTAGCTCCGCAAAACGACACTGGTGCCAGCTTGATCCTCATGTACAACAGGCGAGCCGCTTGGGTGTTTCACACACGACAGAAGTTCTGCCCGACTGGAAAAATTAAGTGCCCAACGTAAACCTAACCTGCGACATTTTCACCGCGAGGAACGGGGGTTGTGAAACTTTCACCATCACCCTGGCCGTTCTGGGTCCGCACCGCAAGTATCGTTCCTGTGTATCTACGGGGCACGGGTCCTGTGCTCTCTGGCTCCAATTGTTTGACATGGGTCCTAGACTTCGAAAGGAGTTCCACCATTTCCCCTCTATTGTCCCACCCGAAACAGTTCAAATTGCAATCCCACCTACCTCGTTCTCAGCATGACTCGCCTTGACACCGAACCTGATTGGCTGCAGTCTGAATGATAGCGAACAACCAAGTCGTATTTCGACAATTACGAGATTCCGAGCTGGGACGTCACGCAAGCAACTAACCTTGTGCATGAGCGAGATTTTGTAACCATGTGTCCACTGCTCACTCTGGGTTTTCCCCTTCAAGGTCCCGTTTGCCCGTGGTTTACCATTTCCTTTTTACAAGATAAAAACGCGTGCAAAACCGTAAAAACAAAAAAGAGAAAACGTGTAGCACGAAAGCTGGGAAATGTTGCACCTTAAAGCGCGTGACCCAAGAACGATCAAGACTCAAAGTCTTTGATCCTTGGTCTCTCTCAAAACCCAACCTGCGTTCACAGGGTTACCCTGAAACTGAGAGACTGGATGGAAACCCCGAACGACGAGGTTGGATTGGTTGCTTTCCCATCCACGTTGGCTGCGACAGCGAGCGACCGCACCTGCAATTAACCCGTTCCCTGAGGGAGGATCAAGACTCAGAGCATCAAGTTTATTTGGGACTCCCAACTATGGCGGCCGCTGCGTTGGAGAAAAACCGAGCTAGGAAGGACTAACTAGCGTGTACATCCTAAAATTTTAGGGGATCGTCGAGGCTTAGCGATGCACGCAGGTACGCGGTGGAAAAAAAAAAAAAAAAAAAAAAAAAAAAAAAAAAAAAAAGGCCGACACACTTTAGGTTACTGTCGCCTCACGCAATAGCACGCGGCTACGTTTCGCGAACAAGACGGCATTAGCCACGGAAACCAGCAGACTCACGGGAATTCGAAGCGCGACCCGGACCATTCGCGTCGCAACTAACAACCAGTGAGCCACTCCGCGCTCTTCTCTTGCAAAACAACCAATATTGTGCTCGAAGGTCGATCACCCATCCCCTCGTCGCACATGCAACTCCCCCTTCGCCGTCCCCCTCGTCGCACGTGCAGCCCTCCCCCAGGACTCTCTTCCCCTCGTCCCACATATCCCAACCCCTCGTCGCACATGCAACCCTTCCCCGTTGTCGCCCTTCCCTGCTGTCGCCCTTCCTTGCTGTCGCCCTTCCCTGCGTCGCCCTTCCCCGCGTCGCCCTTCCCCGCGTCACCCTTCTCCGCGTCGCCCTTCTCCGCGTCACCCTTCCCCGCGTCGCCCTTCTCCGCTTCGCCCTTCCCCGTGTCACCCTTATCCGCGTCATCCATCAAGCTTCCCCTCACCGCCATTTCTCCCTGCCCCTCGCCGTTAATCTCCCTTCTCTGCGTCATCCTACTCCCTTCCATTCGCCCTCATTTCCCCCCACCCCCCTGCTCCCCTTCTCACTCCATTTTCAATTGGAGAAGGCAAGGGATAGCCGGCGTTGAATGCAAGGGAGCTAGGCGTGGGGTTAACCAGGGATAGCCGTAGGGTAGCAAGGGGAACAGGGGCGGATAAGGGGGGAACAGGGGGTGGATAGCAGAGGAACAGGGGGGGGATAGTGGGGGAACAGGTGGCGGATAGCAGGGGAACAGGGCACGGATAGCGGGGGAACAGGGCGCGGATAGCAGGGGAACAGGGCGCGGATAGCGGGGGAACAGGGCGCGGATAGCGGGGGAACAGGGCGTGGATAGGGGAGGAACAGGGGGCGGATAGCAAGGGAACATGGCGCAGAAGGCAAGGGACCAGCGGGGGAAGACGGCTAGCTATACTGCCAGGAAATGCAGAGGGCTAGGGATAGGCGCGGTGGAGGCTAGGGAGAGGCGAGGGGGTAGGGGGGATAGGCACGATGTTTTCCGGCTATTTCCCCCCATTTATGCTCCCCTTCTCCCTGTTGAGTTTGCTCATTCCCTACTCACTCACACTCCCGTACCCCCAATTTTGCCCTTGCTATCTCCCCCCACTCATGCTCCCTCCCCCCCTGTTGTGCCTGCTCATTCCCCATTCTCATCCCATACTCCCACACAGACCCCCTGATTTCATCCCCCCCCCCCCCTGCTCCCATGCCCTTCCCCTGTTCCAATTTCGACAGTAAGAGGAGAGGGTGGGGCTGAATTTCCCACGCTACCCCCTCTCTTCCTCCCCATTTCCCACGCTGCCCACACCCCTTTTCCCTTTCTCCTCTCTGTCTTCCCCTCCTTTCCCCCTCTTATCCCCCTCCTTCCCCCTCTCATCCCCCTCCTTCCCCCTCTCATCCCTCTCATTCCCCTCAGTTCCCCCATCTTTCCCCCCAGTTCCCCCTCTTTCCCCTCAGTTCCCCCCTCTTTCCCATCAGTTCCCCCCTCTTTCCCTCAGTTCCCCCCTCTTTCCCTCAGTTCCCCCCTCTTTTCTCTTAGTTCCCTCCTCTTTCCCCTCAGTTCCCCCCTCTTTCCCCTCAGTTCCTCCTCTCCTTCCCTTCAGCTCCCCCTCTTTCCCCACACTCCCCCTCTCTTTCCCTCCCATCTCCATCTCCGTTTCTCCTCGAATCCCCTCTGCATCCCCTATCTTTTTCTTCTGCATCCCCTCTCTTTCCTCATAGCTCCGCCTCCCTTTCCCCTCATCTCCCCTCTTCATTTCCCCCCTCCTCCACTCCGGTTCTCTCCCTTTCCCCCTATCCTCCTCTCCCTTTCCCCCTATCCTCCTCTCCCTTTCCCCTTATCCTTCTCTCCCTCTCCCTCTATCCTCCTCTCCCTTTCCCCCTATCCTCTTTTCCCTCTCCACCTATCGTCCTCTCTCTTTCCCCCTATCCTCCTATCCCATCCGTGCCCCCCCCCCCCCTCTTCCCTCTCATTCCTTTCCGCTGCTCCCATCGTCTCCCCCTGTTTTTATTCCACCCCCTTGCTCCCCTGCTTCCTGTCACCCTTTTTTGTCGCCTACAAGGTGGGAGTGAGGTTGTGATGGTGGGGCCTGACTCTTGCCTTTCATCTCCCGCTCTCTTGCCTCTCAGCTCTCCCTCTCTTGCCTCTCAGCTCCCGCTCTCTTACCTCTCAGCTCCCGCTTTCTCACCTCTCAGGTCCCGATCTCTTGCCTCTCAGGTCCCGCTCTCTTGCCTCTCAGGTCCCGCTCTCTTGCCTCTCAGGTCCCGCTCTCTTGCCTCTCAGGTCCCGCTCTCTTGCCTCTCAGGTCCCGCTCTCTTGCCTCTCAGCTCCCGATCTCTTGCCTCTCAGGTCCCGCTCTCTTGCCTCTCAGCTCCCGCTCTCTTGCCTCTCATCCCCCACTCTCTTGCCTCTCAGCTCCCGCTCTCTTGCCTCTCAGCTCCCGCTCTCTTGCCTCTCAGCTCCCGCTCTCTTGCCTCTCAGCTCACCCGCTCCTTGGCCTCAGCTCACCCGCTCCTTGGCTTCAGCTCACCGGCTCCTTGGCCTCAGCTCACCCACTCCTTGGCCTCAGCTCACCAGTGCCTTGGCCTTAGCTCATCCTCCTGGTCCCCTCTGCTCACACCTCATTCACTCACTACCCCCTTTCTTTGCAATCTGCCCCCCCCTCTCCTTGCTCTCCCAACAGTGGGTCATGACACGCGCAGGACATTGCACGCATCAACTTGCACTCTCCCCACCACTTCCGCACTCTCCCTCGCACCACCACACCCTTTAAGCTCGTGTAAATAAAAAAACGTTATTATAAGCTACTCTGTTTGAAAATAAATGAACGACTGGGCGTAACAGCTAGAATGCATCTATCTTATGTACTAAATTCCTGTTGCTACTCATGGCTTTCGAGTGAGCTCATTGTTTGTTTTTGCAGATTTAGTTATACAGTTACATACCGTCCATGGTTTAAATTTGGCGCTATAATATCGTTACCGTAGGCTCGGTTGGGGGAACTGGGCGAGTTTCCGAAATATTTTGTTTCGTGTTTCGGGACTGGCGTGTGCTATTGCCTGATCGTTTTGGGCCCGACAGTCCTAGTTACACATTGGGGTCGATATATTTTCGTCATTGTACGCGCCCCACTTCTGGTTCACTCTCCCTGTTTCAACTCGTCGCCTAAACGTCGCCCATCTCCCGCAGGCGAGGTCCGTGACTTTCGCGCTTCCCCCACCCCATTTTTCGTTTCGCAACACCCCTGCGAATTTCGCCTCTCAGACCAAGAATCAAAGACTTTGAGTCTTGATCGTTCTTGGGTCACGCGCTTTAAACTTCGTACGCCTAGAAACCCAAGTCCGCATTTTTTTGGGTTGCGGAGCAACCTATTGCAATCGATCGGGCTGGTTTTTTTTTTCAAGTTTGTGAAACAAAAATCAAATGTTTGTTGTGATATGGAAATAAAACATTTTATGTATAATAAAGTCTCATCATGAAATGCTCCGCAACCCTAAGACGATCTCGTCGCCTCTTGTTTTTTTTTTTTTTTTTTTTTTTTTTCCAGGGGACGCCGAACCCGCCTCTTAGAACATGGCTTCTGAAGGCGACTACTCTCACACCTGGCATCCCCGGGGAAAATAAGGGGATTAAAAATATCGCAGGTTAAGTGTACACCACATTTCTGTATATCCTCTTCATAAGAAGATAGTTGATAGCTTTTCGTAGTTGCTGAGCGGCATATGCAAAATAAAAATTGCTCAATAAGAAACGCAAGCATCAAGTGCATGTTGAGAAGTAACGACGAGTTGGACGACGGGTCTCCAAAGTCGCCAAGCCTGAACAAAACATGAAGTACAGAGGGTATGCTCTATGCTCCAAATCCGCGACTCGGAAATATGGACTAGGACGAATAAGAGCGGTTCACTACGGGCAAAATGGATTATCGAGTAGCACGTACGGTTTTAGGTGGGGTGGCGTAGGCCGTTTTGCTCGTTCTGTTCACGATGGGTGCCTTGGCGTATTGACCCTTGGGCCAGGTTACCAGTGACTTCGCCGCGTGTCAGGTGAGGGCTCATGTGGCTTCTTAAAAAACGTTCAGCACATTTATCGTCTGGTCAGAATTACCGTAGAAAATAGAAGTAACACCTCGTTCTCGACCTTCCGCAAGCAGCGCAGGCTCTAAACGCGCAAATCATATAATTTGAAAAACCCTTTTCGTGATCTCACGAAAAGGGCTTAACGTAACAAAATTATGACGACTCGCCTGAGAAGTTTCGTTAACCAATCACACACTTTCGCGACGGTGAAAAAAACCATTGAAGAAAAACATTTTCGAAATGTGCACTGGTTAATGGTGATTGAGGGACCGTGGGTCCTGTTTTCGTATTCGGGACGGACCTGTTCGTGTCATGCGGAAAGCCTGAATATTTACGTCATTGGTTATAAAATATGGAAAATGACCCGAATGTTCTTGATACGAGGATTAGAATAGGACCGAAATAATAAGACCGAATGGATGGAAAGGGGATTCGGATTCATGCCCAGGTCAGCGCGCATACAAAATTGCCAGGTGGACGGTGGTATCAGCTGGCTGTCACTTTTTTGGTCCGTCGTGATTACGTCTGATCGCCCTGGCAAGCGCGTATTGGCCGGGCAATTCCAAGCACAGTTCACGAGAAAATTCCGAGCTCGCACTCGCGGGTTGGTTGGCGACACTCGCATGCTGGGATCGCACCCAATTCGGGTGGCGCGACTCGATGGTCTGTGGCATTATGCGACTGTCGTGATTGGTCACAATGTTTTATTGCGCTTTTTTAGCGAAGTCAACAGTAGATGTATACCGTACAGACGGAGTACATCGTGTCCGATCTTATCGAATTTCGGACCTTGGAGTATTACGTGGAGTAAAATGTCGTGGACCTAATGGCATACCCGCTGTACCTGCCGGCTGATGCTGCACAGCAGGCAACAGGGCAAACCTAATGAATATTGGACCTTAAGGGCGACCAAGGCTACGAGTGATAGTTACGAGAAAGGGTTCTAGGATGATCGTAAAGCCCGTAACGTTAGCGTCAGTCTGAGGCGCGTACATCTTCCTGTCGAATCGTCACTCATTCCGTTAGATTCAGCTGGAAAAGCGGCCTCACCGGTTGGCATTCGCTCGCTTCGTCAAATATAGTAACGTCCCAACATTGTTAGGATTTTCGCCGCCGATTGCTCCGGCCTTCCCGTCGAATTGACGGCCTGATACTTTTATACCTCCTGATAGAGACCGCTTTATGGCTTTGGATAACGGGCCTGCTTCTAGCGGGGATGCGCGGGAAGTCGTGGCGGAGCTCCGCCAACGGCTGCTAGACCGCGCGCTGCCCATCGAGCAGCGCATCCGCGCGCTATTCTCTTTGCGCAACCTTAAAGGGGATACACCGCAACAGGCTCTTATAGAAGGTACGTGAATCCGCTTATAGCGTGAATTCGCTCTGCCCATCGAGCAGCGCATCCGCGCGCTCTTCTCTTTGCGCAGTCTCCGGGGGTTGCACCGCAACAAGCTCTAATCGATGGTATGCGGTGTGCCAATAACGGGGACGCACTGCACCGCATAGCACCGCGCTTTCTCTCCTTCAGCGCGATCGTAGAGACACGGTGCCATGCCTACCGCTCCAGTCAGAGTTTAGCTTTGTCAAAAGAGGCCACGCATTCGGTTCACTATAAGGAACCCCGATAACATGACTGGTGCTGGCAGCGGGAGCTGAATCGTCTTAGAATGCGAAGGAAACGGGTCAACGGTTCAGTGCCATGGCTGCCGGTTCAGTGCGGTATAAGGCACAAGGTCTGGTGCTGGTGCTGGTCTCGTGGCCAGTGTGTCAAGGTCAAAACACCTGAACCATTTAATCTCCCTGAATGCCTCGGAAGTTGCGGACAGAGTTAGATCCCCGGATAAGGTTTTAGGGTTCAGGGTTTGCCAGGGTTCAGGGTTTTTCAGGGTTTGGGGACTGGGGAAATGTGGTGGTGAGCCCTCTGGTAGAGCAGTCAGATCGCGCCCCTAGATAGGACTTGAAGGTTCTGGGTTTAGGACTAGGGTTTGAATTTCGTGTTCTTCTGCAAAGACCAACGCTGAGTTACAGTCTCGCGTCTTCAGAGAGCACATTTCGCTCATGGGCTGGCACATTTCGCTCATGGGCTGGCACATTTCGCACATTTCACTGCTGGCATTGTGTTCCCTTCCCAGCTTTGCAGTTACATCTTGCGATTCTACCAGTTCATTTTTCCTGCCCGACCTCTTACCAACTGTTAGTTACTCCTGCCCGCACTTTTGTTTCCCTGCCCAGCCATGGAGGACAAGTCGGTGCTATTGGCCCATGAGGCAGCATTCGCTCTCGGGCAGATGGGAGATGTTTTCTCGGTGCCCGCACTCACAAGAGTGCTTGAGGACCCCTCGTACCACCCCATCGTTCGACACGAGGTGGGATGAAACACAAGGTGTGGCAAGGTAGGATGAAACCCAAGGTGTGGCAAGGTGAGATGAAACCCAAGGTGTGGCAAGGTGAGATGAAACCCAAGGTGTGGCAAGGTGAGATGAAACCCAAGGTGTGGCAAGGTGAGATGAAACCCAAGGTGTGGCAAGGTGAGATGAAACCCAAGGTGTGGCAAGGTGAGATGAAACCCAAGGTGTGGCAAGGTGAGATGAAACCCAAAGGTGGGACAAGGTGAGTCTAAACCCGAGGTGGGACAAACCCAAGGTGTACAAGGTGAGATGAAACCCAAGGTGTACAAGGTGAGATGAAACTGCTCTCTGCCCCTCCCTGTTCACCTTACAATGCCCATAACAGAGCAGAATAGCTCGCAGCAGAGCAGAAGCACCATAGCAGGCACCGCACCACAGGATAGGCCTCTTCCCCTCTCTCCATTGTAAAGTGCCAAGTACTGTGTCTTTCCCACAGGCGTTTGATTCCATTCACAAGCTCAAATCCACCACTTTGCACGTCTTTGTACCGCACTCCCCTTACTGCAGGCAGCAGAGGCTCTAGGCGCCATAGGAGAGGCCTCCTCCCTCCCTCTGCTCCAAACATATCTTGCCGACCCTGCACCCGAGGTTCGGGAGACGTGCGAGCTGGCAGTTCGGCGGCTACAGGACACCCTAGCTGCGGCAGAGGAAGGGAGAGAGGGGGAGCGGAAGGGGGAGGGGGAAACCGAAGGGGCAAAGGGGGAGGGGGGGGGAGAGGGGGAGGGGAAACGGTTCATGTCAGTTGACCCTGCGGGGAGTGCACCTAAGAATGCGAGCACAGAAGAACTCAGGTAGTGACACAGACGCGTGTTTTTCCACTTAGGCCGAAGACAGCTGTCGGGCGACATGGTCCTCTGACCCCTGTCTAGTCACATAACCCTGCACAATGCACATCGTGTGTGCTGTGCTGCTGCTCGTTGTCCTCCTCTCTCTTCTCTCCCTGCTTTTTGGTCGCCTCTCTTGGCCCAAGCCGGCTATGTTGCACTCGGACCCCTGAGATTCTCCTCTGGCCCAAGTCACACGAGATGCTCCTCTGACCCAAGTCACACGAGATGCTCCTCTGACCCAAGTCACACGAGATGCTCCTCTGACCCAAGTCACACGATTTGCCTCCAGTTCCATCTTCCTGCACAATGCACATCGTGTGTTTCCAGGAAGCTGCTTCTCCAGGAAGATGCCAACATGTACGATCGCTATGGCGCTCTCTTCGCTCTGCGGGACAAAGCAGCTGCGACTAGCAATGCTGGTGATGCTGCGGCTGGTGCTGGTGGTGGTGGTGATTCTGGTGGTGCTGGTGCTGCTGGTGCTGGTGGTGGTGGCGATTCTGGTGGTGCTGGTGCTGCTGGTGCTGGTGGTGGTGGCGATTCTGGTGGTGCTGGTGGGAGCAGCGGTGCTTCATTTGCAAGTGAAGCAGTAACTGCAATTGTTGAGGCGCTTGAGACCTGCACCAGTGCTCTGCTGCGCCATGAGGTGGGATGTCACGCTGAGGTGTGGCACGTGTTCCGGTGTTATGGTGCAAGGTTTTGTTAAGTTGAGGTGCTTGAGACCCGCACCAGCACTCTGCTGCGGCATGAGGTGCCGTTAATGTCAATATTACGAATCACATGTATGACATGCTGTGGCATGATGCCCGGCGTGTCGAAACTACTTGGCATGCTTTTACTGTTATATTTGCTGCATGTACGCCACCGAAACAGACCACTGTATCATCCCCAACCCCTCCCCAACCCACCCCCCCGGTCGTGCCATCAGATAGCCTATGTCTTGGGCCAGCTACAGAACAAAACTGCCGCCCAGGCGCTTGTTAGGGCGCTACAAGACACCTCATGCCACGCCATGGTTCGGCACGAAGCTGCTGTGGCGCTAGGCTCTGTAGCAGGTATGGAAACCCATGCTTAAGGTAAGTATGAATACCTTGGGAGTATGCTACATTGAGCAATGGACGGTGCAATGTGTAACACATTAATTGGAACGTTTGTGCGAGGACACACCATTGTCCCATTTCATAAAGTAATGATTTAAAAACGCTGTGAACTAGGGGGTTAATGTAAGCTGCTATCATGCTGTTCTTTTATGCCCCTTGCAGATCCATTGACACTGCAGCTTCTAAGAGAGTTCCAGAAGGATCCCGACCCGATTGTAGCAGAGAGCTGCGACGTGGCACTTGACCTGATGCGGTTTGAACTACAACCAGATGCTTTTCAGGTATTTCTTGACCAGCCAGTGTACTTTCCTTAATTTCATTGTGTATGGTTCTGTTTTCTCACCCTTTAATCATCCTCCCCTGCTGCTAATTCATTCCCTTTCCTTTTCTCTCAGTATGCAGACCTTTTGGAGTAGGCAACTTACTACTTTAATTATAACGACATTGTAAGGTTACCCGACCTACAACACAGACTACCTAGACCTATTCTTATAACTTCCACCACGTTTGCGCCCATGCTGTTGCCGTGCTCATTGCTATGATCGTGTTGTGTGGAGGTCTGCTACAAAGTGTGCATAGTAAGCATGTGAGTGAAACGTGGTATCATCTATTGAAGATATGCAACATTCACAAGATAACATTTTCCTAGGCACGAGATGACACGTCAGGGTGTACTGAAGGTTCTGGTTTAGGCGCCATCTCATCTCACCCAGTCTGCTGCACTCCCTTCTGTTGCCGTCCGTCCAGGCAAGCGGCACTGTACAACGTTCACTGATTGGTGGAAAATGTTTTCCAGGTGTTGACGAACCGTCAGGTCAGGGGTACGGTGGCGGCGAGCAAAAATGAGCGTGCGTGAAAATGTCTCACGTGGCGGTTCGTATGGAAACAGATTGATGGCCCCGATGGGAAAGGATACGTTCGGAATGCCGAAGGCCCCTGTCGCACCAGAGTTGTAGGTTCGGAATGCAAGGTTTCATACCTTAGGTCAAGCCTGAATATCGAACCTCAGGCTCGATTTCCAGATGGGTGCTACAAGACTTGCTAAGATACAGCACGTTTCTACATGGTGATAAGCGGTATCCCTTCACCCAGCACCGCCTCCTTGCTGCCACTGAGACCTTTTCCATACTTGACTTTGCCCCGGATAACGAACCGTGTTTAGCTCGAACTTGCTGCTTTGGCAGGGTTCCCTCGACTGAGGCTTCGCGAGTGTTGCCTGTTGGGTTTGGTTCGGAGCCAAGAAGTTGCCGTGATTTGCAAGCAGGCGATTCGCGGATCAGGCGAGGCATGATTTTTCCCTCCCAGCCCGTGGGGTGTGTGGGACACCAGCGTTCGATAAGGGTCTGTTCGAATGGTCACCACCCTGCACCGCACAATGTAGGACTGAAACACGCAGTACCGTGTTCAGCCTGTTTGAAAAGTCCGTTTGAACGGCATCTTGCAGCTGATGTCCCGCACAAAACCACTGGGCAAATGAAGAGCATCGGTTCAGCAGCAGATAGTTCTAGCCTGCCTTAGCCGGCCCGCTTAGTGAACCCCAGAAGACTCCCTTCTTCCTCAAGCTGGAGTTTTTATAGGAGGGTCGCTACCAAACAGGCTTCAACTTCTTGCTAACTACAGTAATCGTTAGCGCTCTAGTCGCTGTTTTTCCGACATCGTCCTTCCTGATCTCCCCCAGTTTTTTCCGGAAAAAGAGCTTCCGTCTGTCTTCCTCAGTCGTTTTTTGTTCCAAGCTTCGTGTCGTTCGGAAACGGAGCGTTACATAGGATTTTCACAACGCTTGGACCATGCCATTACCGCGCTCTTGACGCGCCGCGACTTGCCATCCCTTCGCACCGTGCGAGTGACTCGTTATTAGCTGTTTTTCCTAGCCATGGTTAGCTGGAACGCGACGGTTACCTATACCCGGTCATTCTAGCTGTACTAATACCTTCGTATACTTCATTCGCAAGCGACGCGGCCTAACCGAGCAAGCCGTGTCGCATTTTCGTAGCAGCGTCATGGACCGGCGCTTCGCGTCGCTCGCGAATCTCGCGAATTTCGCGAATCGAGTTCCCCAGGGACGACGCATCTCTTTCGCGCAAGTCGCCGTGTTGATCGCTGCTGCAATTCTGAATCTTGGGCCAATCCAGTCCGTTAGTGCCGCGACGGACCCAGCTCAAGGTAATTCCAAATCCTTCTACTACTATCCCAACAGTCCAACCCCCAAAATACGTAGTATAACGGGCAGTTTATGTTGCCCCAGCCCGCTACCGACTGGGTTAAAAGGGCATGTTGTTGTGGTGGGTAGCGCACCCATTACCTCCCAGGACGGACCTGTAGCCCTCCCACACTCAACTGTAGGACGATCCCAGTGCCCCACCAACAGTTTAACGGGGTATGTACGTTTGGTTCCCGTACACTACATGAGGGCGATATTTTTGAGGCGCCTCAAAAATAGGCTCATCACGCGGGGTATGTACGTTTGGTTCGCGTACAGTGCATGAGGGCGAACAAATTCGCAAGAGTAACGGGGATCGAAACTCAGTGCACTTCGACAATCAGCTAGTAACGTTTCTTGCCTAGCCGCGGAATTCCTCCGACGAAATTGTATGCCGACGGCGTAGCTCACACTGGATGATCCAGTGCACATACATTTCCAAGCAAAGCAACCGCGTGAGGAGTCTATTTTTGAGGCGCCTCAAAAAATTGATCCAGTGTACATACATTTCCAAGCAAAGCAACCGCGATGTAATAATCTCCATTCTGACAGCTCAATCTGCCGTGTATTGCCGTACTAGCTCCGATGCATTCTCCGATAGTAGCTTTCGCGTTGCTGACCCCGGCTGTATTTTGAGTCGACTCAAAATACGCGTTACTGACCCCGGCTCCATCCGTTTCCCGCCTTCCAAAACCATCGCCTCACTCGGGGCTCTTTCACTTCCGTTCCTACGGCCCTTCGCTTTCCACTATTTCGAAAAGTTTGAGAGCTTTCGAAATGTCGCAGCGCGTCAGTCTTGGCCCCCTCCCTCCCGTGCTGTCCGCTGCCTCCTACGCCGACGCCTTTTCCCAAATGCCGGGCTGAACGCTCCTTCCCTCTCCTTCCCTCTCGTCCTCTCTCTCTTCCCCTCTCTCCCTCCAACCCCCTTCCCACCCCCCTTCCCGCCCCTCTTTCCTCCCCTCTTTCCTCCCCTCTTTCCTCCCCTCTTTCCTCCCCTCTTTCCTCCCCTCTTTCCTCCCCTCTTTCCTCCCCTCTTTCCTCCCCTCTGTTCCGCCTCCTCCTCCCCAAGGCATCACGCTCCCTCCCTTTCGTCGCTCCCTCCCTTTCGTCGCTCCCTCCCTTTCGTCGCTCCCTCCCTCTCTTCCCCTCTCCTTCCCCACCCCATCCTTCCACCAGTGGCCACCCTTCGCACCATAGCTCCAGCTTTTGGCTCCCCCAACTCGTTCTTCAATGCCTGGACTGGGGACGACCCACTTCTCCCTTGTTCCCGACCAACACCCAGCTCCCTCCCCCTTCCCCCCTTTCCTCTACCCCCTCCACCAGTGGCCACCCTTCGCACCATAGCGTCAGCTTTCCTTCCCCCAACTCGTTTTTCAATGCCTCGGTGGGGGACGACACCTGTGCGGCCAGCAGCAGCGGTGCCGTTTGAGTCGACTCAAAACCTCTCCCCAACCCCCTCTTCCTCTTCCTCCCCCTACCTTCCACCAGTGGCTACCCTTCGCGCCATAGCTGCAGCTTTTGGCTCCTCTGGCTCGTTTTTCAATGCCTGGACTGGCGACAACCCCTGTGCTGTCAGCAGCAGCAGCGGTGTCTCTTTTGAGTAGGCTAAAAAATCCCCTTCCCCCCTTCCTCTCCCTCCCCCTTCCTTCCACCAGTGGCCACCCTTCGCGCCATAGCGTCAGCCTTTCCTTCCTCCAACTCGTTCTTCAATGCCTGGAGTGGAGACGACCCCTGTGCTGCCAGCAGCGGCTGGCCTGGGGTCAGCTGCGAGAACAACGGCACAGGCAGCCGTGTGGTTACATCGCTGTGAGTGGTTACAACGTTACATCGCTGCGAGTGGTCACGGCGCTAGAGTGCTCCATCACTGTTAGTGCAAGTGAATGGGGACGACGCCTGTGCGGCCAGCAGCAGCAGCAGTGGCTACTACAGTTGGCTGGGGGTGAGCTGCGAGAGCAACGGCACAGGCAGCCATGTGGGCACATCGCTGTGAGTGGTGGTAGTGGTGGCGGTAGTGGTGGCGGTAGTGGTGGCGGTAGTAGTAGTGGTGGTGGTGGTGGTGGTGGTGGTGGTGGTGGTGGTGGTGGTGGTGGTGGTGGCGGCGGCGGCGGCGGCGGCGGCGGCGGCGGCGGTGGCGGTGGCGGTGGCGGTGGCGGTGGCGGTGGCGGTGGTGGTGGTGGTGGTGGTGGTGGTGGTGGGTGCACCCCTTCACATGGTCACCTCTCTGTCACGAAGCCTCTCTGTGGTCTTCCTGTATTTTTTGCCGCGAAGTTGCCACCTCTAGCAGCACCCGTCCATCCTGCGTAACCCACCTGTAACCCACCCTTGACTTGAACAGCAGGTGCTTGTAAGGCCCGTCTGAGGCCCGTCTGAGGCCCGTCTGAGGCCCGTCTGAGGCCCTTTTGAGGCCCCTCAAAAGGGCGCACTGCTTTCCATCCCACCCTCCTTATATCTTCCCTCCCTTCCCGTCCAGCCTCGTTCCCCCCTCATCTCCCCCCCTCATCTCTCCCCCTCATCTCCCCCCCTCATCTTCCCCCCCTCATCTCTCCCCCACACTTCTCCCCCTCATCTCAACCCATCTCAACTCATCTCCTGCCTCGGCTCATCCCCTTTCTCTCCTCCCGCCTCATTCCTCCTCATCTTTGCTTGGCAGAACTCTTCAAGGGCTGGGGCTTTCCGGGCAGCTTCCTCCTGCTCTCTTTGAGCTCACCACCCTTACAGCCCTGTACGGCTCATTGGCTCAATGCCCCACATGGCGTAGCATATCTGCCCTCATTACCTAACGAACCAGTCAGCTCTGCAGCATGCACCACCCCTTCACATCACATCCCTGTGTGACTTTTGAGTCGACTCAAAAGCCATCTCAATGCCCCTACCTAGCAAACCAGTCAGCTCTGCAGCATGCACCACCCCTTCCCATCACATCCCTGTGTGACACTATGTTGTCGTCGAAACGAAGCAGCCAGCTTTGCAGCGTGTCCTTCTGAGTCGACTCAACAGATTTGCAGCGTGTCCTTTTGAGTCGACTCAAAAGCTTTGCAGCGTGTGTGTACCACCCGCACCCGAACATCCATGTAATACTGTACGGCTCAATGCCCTTACCTTACAAATCAGCCGGCTTTGCTCTGTGACCCTTTTTGAGGCGCCTCAAAAATAGACTCCTCAGTCGGCTTTGCTCTGTGACCCTTTATAAGCGTCTCCACTTTTGTGCCGGGAAGTAATCCATTTTTTAGGCGCTTCAGAAAAAGAGTCCTCATGCATGGATATGCAAGTAACCCATTTTTGTGTGTGTACCACCCTCACCCGCAATTTCAACAATAGAGACCTCCTCATGCATGGAAGTAATCCACGCTGAGCTTTACCTCGAGTGACCTTCCTCCTCACAGTGCTCTAGGCTAGTTTTCTGAGTGTCCCCTGATCTGTTCTCTGCTCTAACCTGCCCCCTCCACCCCCATCCTGGCCTTAAAGTCAGTAGGTCGCAGGTAGGTCAGAGGCCACTGTGTCTGATTTTTTAGTCGACTAAAAATTCTCCTGTTTGACCCGTGCTCTGTTCTCTGTTCTAATCTGCTACCTAAACTGCTTGTAGGACAAAGGCTCCGTTCCCTAAACTACAGTCTCAGCTGGTTTGACAGACAGTCTCGCTCCTCTTACCCCGTTCAACCCCTCGCTCCCAGCCCAGCAGTTTCCTCAACCCGGGCGTCGCATTCTCGCTCCTTTATTCCCTTCAACCTCTCACCCCCCCAGGGACATCTCGCTCAACCCCGGCCTTTCAAGCAGCATCTACAGTACCATCAGCTCTCTCCCCCCCTCCTTCCTCCCTTCCTCTTTCTCTCTCTTCAACACCTCTCTCCCCTCTCAGGGACATCTCACTCAACCAGGGCCTCACAGGCAGCATCTACAGCACCATCGGCTCTCTTTCCAGCCTCGCCATGCTGTGAGTTATAGCCTGTAACGAGTCTGCTTGCAAACATTGGCCGTTCTGTTCGACTGCCAAAGAGTTGCATGCCACCAACCAACCCTCCTCTTCATCCCTCCTCTTCATCCCTCCTCTTCATCCCTCCTCTTCATCCCCCCTCTTCATCCCTCCTCTTCATCCCTCCTCTTCATCCCTCCTCTTCATCCCTCCTCTTCATCCCTCCTCTTCATCCCTCCTCTTCATCCCTCCTCTTCATCCCTCCTCTTCATCCCTCCTCTTCATCCCTCCTCTTCATCCCTCCTCTTCATCCCTCCTCTTCATCCCTCCTCTTCATCCCTCTCTTCATCCCTCCTCTTCATCCCTCCACTTCATCCCTCCACTTCATCCCTCCTCTTCATCCCTCCTCTTCATCCCTCCTCTTCATCCCTCCACTTCATCCCTCCACTTCATCCCTCCTCTTCATCCCTCCTCTTTCTTCATCCCTCCTCTTCATCTCTCTCTTCATCATTATGCCCGGTCTGCTTGCTTCCCAATGTCTCATAATCCTCCCTGCACCCAATTCCTTCCCCACCAGTCACTTTCCTCACTCTCTCGCACACACCCCCTCAATCCCTCTCCTTCACACTCGCTCCACCTCTCACCACCGTTCTCCACCCCGTGCGTTTCGTCCCTCCGTTTCTCCTCAAAGGTCTTTCCATCCCACCCTGCCTCTATTCACACTGCACTACACCGCCCTCAACCGCACTGCATTGCAACGTGACTAGTACCATCCTCACCATTCCACCCACCTCTCCTCACCGCACTGAATCACATCCCACCACGGATGCAGTCTGTCAGGGTCCATTTCCCCCAAATCCTTGTTTCTTCTACCTCCCCCCTGCCTATCCCTCCCCACGTCATCCCACCGCACTGCACTGCATCTCACCAGGGACATGCACGGGTGCAGTCTGTCGGGGCCCATCCCTGCTACAATCGGCCTCGTTAAGAAGCTCAGCTTCTTTGCTGTCAGCAGCAACAAGCTGTCTGGCAGCATTCCTAGACAGGTGGGTACCTCGTTGCACCGTTCTTCACCACACTGATTGGCAGCAAACCGTGCGCAACACCTTCCCTGTTGCCATCGGCCTCTTGAGGAATGAGTGCATGTCCTCGACTGCATATCCTTCCCTCTTCTCCCCCCCTCCCCCCTCCCCTCTCCAACACGCCCTTCTGCAGGTGGCGAAACTGACTGGCCTCTGGTCCCTTAACATCACAGACAACCAGATCTCAGGACCAACGCCATTGGCGTCTCCCTCACGCTCATCCCAAATCGCCCTTCCCCCTCCTTTTCCCTCCCCCCCTCACACGCCCCTCCCTCTCCCCTGCTGCCAGGTGGCGAATCTAACGAACCTCTACTTCCTTGACATCACAGACAACCAGATCTCGGGGCCTGTGCCCGTCCAACCAGGATTCGACACGTGTACCAACATCGCCCACCTGTGTGTGCCTCTCCTTGTCGTCCGATGAAATCGCCCTCTCCCCTCTCAATATGTCCCCTCTCAATATCTCCCCTCTCTCCTCCACAACACACTTTTCTGTCACTCTCCCTCACATGCTATCACATGTTTGAGGCGCCTCAAAAGTCACTCTCCCTCACATGCTATCACATGTTTGAGGCGCCTCAAAATTCACTCTCCCTCACATACTATCACATGTACCTACCAACATCGCCCACCTGTGCGGGCTTCTCCTTGTCCATAGTCCAATGAACTAGCCCTCGCCCGTTCCGTGGACAAGTCTCTATCTGCTTTTGAGTTGACTCGAAAGCATGTCCCGAGCTGCCATGTGTCCCATTCCCTCGCTGCCCTCACCACGTTTAGAGGCGCCTCAAAACCTGCCATGTGCCGCATTCCCCTCGCTGCCCTCACCACGTTTAGAGGCGCCTCAAAACCTGCCATGTGCCGCATTCCCCTCGCTGCCCTCACCACGTTTAGAGGCGCCTCAAAACCTGCCATGTGCCGCATTCCCCTCGCTGCCCTCACCACGTTTAGAGGCGCCTAAAAACCTGCCATGTGCCGCATTCCCCTCACTGCCCTCACCACGTTTAGAGGTGCCTCAAAACCTGCCATGTGCCGCATTCCCCTCGCTGCCCTCACCACGTTTAGAGGCGCCTCAAAACCTGCCATGTGCCGCGTTCCCCTCGCTGCCCTCACCACGTTTAGAGGCGCCTCAAAACCTGCCATGTGCCGCATTCCCCTCGCTGCCCTCACCACGTTTAGAGGCGCCTCAAAACCTGCCATGTGCCGCATTCCCCTCGCTGCCCTCACCACGTTTAGAGGCGCCTCAAAACCTGCCATGTGCCGCATTCCCCTCGCTGCCCTCACCACGTTTAGAGGCGCCTCAAAACCTGCCATGTGCCGCATTCCCCTCGCTGCCCTCACCACGTTTAGAGGCGCCTCAAAACCTGCCATGTGCCGCATTCCCCTCGCTGCCCTCACCACGTTTAGAGGCGCCTCAAAACCTGCCATGTGCCGCATTCCCCTCGCTGCCCTCACCACGTTTAGAGGCGCCTCAAAACCTGCCATGTGCCGCATTCCCCTCCGCTGCCCTCACCACGTTTAGAGGCGCCTCAAAACCTGCCATGTGCCGCATTCCCTCGCTGCCCTCACCACGTTTAGAGGCGCCTCCCTGCCATGTCCGCATTTCGCCCTCACCACGTTTAGAGGCGCCTCAAAACCTGCCATGTGCCGCATGTGCCGCATTCCCTCGCTGCCCTCACCACGTTTAGAGGCGCCTCAAAACCTGCCATGTGCCGCATTCCCCTCGCTGCCCTCACCACGTTTAGAGGCGCCTCAAAACCTGCCATGTGCCGCATTCCCCTCGCTGCCCTCACCACGTTTAGAGGCGCCTCAAAACCTGCCATGTGCCGCATTCCCCTCGCTGCCCTCACCCACGTTTAGAGGCGCCTCAAAACCTGCCATGTGCCGCATTCCCCTCGCTGCCCTCACCACGTTTAGAGGCGCCTCAAAAACCTGCCATGTGCCGCATTCCCCTCGCTGCCTCCCCCCTCACCACGTTTTAGAGGCGCCTCAAAACCTGCCATGTGCCGCATTCCCCTCGCTGCCCTCACCACGTTTAGAGGCGCCTCAAAACCTGCCATGTGCCGCATTCCCCTGCTCCCCCCCCCCCCGCCTGCCTCCCTCCTCCACCACGTTTAGAGGCGCCTCAAAACCTGCCCATGTGCCGCATTCCCCTCGCTGCCCTCACCACGTTTAGAGGCGCCTCAAAACCTGCCATGTGCCGCATTCCCCTCGCTGCCCTCACCACGTTTAGAGGCGCCTCAAAACCTGCCATGTGCCGCATTCCCTCGCTGCCCTCCCACGTTTAGAGGCGCCTCAAAACCTGCCATGTGCCGCATTCCCCTCGCTGCCCTCACCACGTTTAGAGGCGCCTCAAAAACCTGCCATGTGCCGCATTCCCCTCGCTGCCTCACCCCCCCCGCCCCCATTCCCCTCGCTGCCCTCACCACGTTTAGAGGCGCCTCAAAACCTGCCATGTGCCGCATTCCCCTCGCTGCCCTCACCACGTTTAGAGGCGCCTCAAAACCTGCCATGTGCCGCATTCCCCTCGCTGCCCTCACCACGTTTAGAGGCGCCTCAAAACCTGCCATGTGCCGCATTCCCCTCCGCTGCCCCTCACCCACGTTTAGAGGCGCCTCAAAACCTTGCCATTGTGCCGCATTCCCCTCGCTGCCCTCACCACGTTTAGAGGCGCCTCAAAACCTGCCATGTGCCGCATTCCCCTCGCTGCCCTCACCACGTTTAGAGGCGCCTCAAAACCTGCCATGTGCCGCATTCCCTCGCTGCCCTCACCACGTTTAGAGGCGCG